AAAATGTTAAACATCGGCATTATAATATTTCTTGATTTACGTTTACTGCGCCATTTAACATTTTGCTAGATTTCTCGGTACCTAGTGATTGTAAAAAGACGATTTATAGCTCGTTGGAATCGCCTCATAGAGACGAATCGAATGGTGGTAAGCTCATCTCTCTGTGATCAATATTAACGGAGTTGTTACTTAAAAACCATTTAATATTTTTTAATTTCGGAAATTGATCTAGTGATTGGATTTCGACGTATTTTATACCATTAGAACCGTCTCATCATGACGAATCGAATGGCGGTAAGATCATCTCTCTACGATTAATATTGGCGAAGTTACGATACAATAAAGTTTTAAGTATAATTCTGGCTAAAATTATGTTAATTTTTGGCCGGAATTATGATATACAAATATAAGAAATTTTTTATATAGTCATTATTAAGGTTGCTTGTCTAAACCTCTTCAAAATCCTACGATTAGTTTCATCAAAATTTTACTATAGATTTGTTATAGTTTCGGCAGAGTTTCAGCAGTTTCGGCATTTATAATAAGTTTCAGCAGTTTCGCCTTTCTCCAAAATTTCGCCAGTTTTTTAATATAACTTTAATATAGTTTCAGCAGAATTTCGCTTTTCGGCAAAACGCCATCTTGCCTAAACCCCTAGGTTTCGGCAAGCAACCTTAAGTCACATCTCTTTATAATTACCAAATATGGATGTTCCCAAATGTGTGACTATAAAGAGAGTTGACTGTAGTTAAAAATCTGGCTGTTTGGCAAAAATTAAGCTGAAAATTAATTTGTAAAAATGCTGATCAAAACCTCAGAATTTTGGAGTTTTCAGAGTTTTGCATTTTTTTTATTCCTAACACTATATTTACTTATTTTTTTTTATTTTTACCATGGATACTATTGAATATGACGAGTAAGATTTGTTTATTGTTGATTTTGCAAAAAATATTCAAAATTCTGATAATTTTGAAAAAATTCATGAAGAGAATATCTAAGGCAGAGGTAGTAATAGAGGTAAAGGAAAAGGAAGAAAAAGAGGTAGAGGTAGAGGTAGAGGTAGAAATAATAATAGTGAAAGAGATAATAATAATAATAAACAAATTGCGCAACTTTCACCTCCACCTTCTTTTAATGCTTTTTAACATGTTAGACATTTACATGAATTTAAAATAAATTTATCTAGAGATTTCCTCCTTTCACCATCACCTCATTCTATATTTTCTCTTTTTTTTCTCTTGAATAAATAGAAATAATTGTTAAAAATATAAATAAATATGCATTTGTAAAGAATGCAGGAGAAAGGCGTGATTGGAAAGAATTAACAATGAAAGAATTTAAAATTTGCCCAGCAATATTAATATATGCTGGTGTTTTTAAATTACCTAGTATTTGAGATTATTGGAATAAGGATAGTAAATTTCCTGAGCATAAAATTACTACTTTTATGTCTTTAACTTGTTTTGAACAGGTATTTTAATTTTATTAATTATCTTAATAATTTTATTAAATTAATTAAATTTTATTAAAACTGTTTATTGATATATTTAAATTAAACGTTTCATGTACATTTCAGATTGTACTATTCCGCCTGAGTTTTGGTATTCAAAGGTAAATCTTTTAGCAACTTATATCCGAACAGTTTTCAAAACAATTTGTATACCATCATCAAATGTTTTTATTGATGAGATGATTGCAAGATTTTCTGGAAGAAGTGCTCATATTGTAAGAATTAAAAATAAACCTACTCCAAAAGGTTACAAAATTCTTTCTTTTTGTGATGCTGGCTATACATACATCTTTATTTTTACCTCCAGAATTCAAATCTACCCAGAAATTCAGCAAGTATCAGATTTAAGTAAAGTAGGAAATGAAGTATACATGCTGCCCAAATTATTTTGGGATGCCATAATTATAATTTGGGATGCCATAATTCATTCAGTTTATATATAATTTACTATGTAAAGTGCCAAAATAATTGGGATGCCATAATTGAATTTGGGATTTTACTTATAATTACGGCAGTCCAAAATAATTTGGGTGGCATGTATAAAATGAAGTATATTACCTTACATCTCAATTACCAATAGAAGATAAATCATTCAATATCTATATGGATAATTATTTTTTTAGTATTAAACTTTTTAAATACTTGTGTGAAAAAAAAATAGGAGCATGTGGAACTGTTCGTACAAATAGTGCTAATTTCCCAAAGGTTCTTAAAGCAAATAAAAAACTAGATTGGAACACACTTTCTGGGGTGGTTGTTAACAATGTATTAGCTATTTTGTGGATGGATAATGGCTCAGTGATGATGCTTTCTACTATTCATCAGATTGATAATGAAAATGAAAATCAGATAGAAAGAGTACGATGTCGACCACGAGAGACAAGCACAAATGCAGCTAAAATCTGAGCAATTTTTGGAACTTTAAGCAAAAAAACTTTACCAATTCCTGTTATAATTGATGACTATAACCACTTCATGGGTGAAGTAGATATTGCTGATCAATTACGAGGGTATTACAGAACTCAGCTACCAGTATGAAGGACTTAGATGCCACTGTTTTTGTGGCTTTTAGATACTGCATTAGTTAATTCATATTTAATATTAAAAAAAAGTTAATACAAATATTAATCATAAGGATTTTAGATTACAAATAGTATGGGATTTAATTGAAGAAAGTTTAAAAGAAAGTGAAAAAAAACTACATATACGAAATCAAGTTGATGAATTAATAAATCAATTTAAGTTTATTTATGTTGATCCTCAATATGTTACAGCAAAATATGAGCTTCCTATAATAAGATTATTTCCAGAAGATCATTATCCTGAATGGAGAGAAACAAAAAGTAGTTGTGTATAGTGTAAATATTTAATAAAAAAAAATCAAGAAAAAGCAGCAAAAAATCCACCTCAATCACAATTATATTGCATAAAATGTGATTTAGCCTTATGTTGTAATAAGGAAAGAAGTAATTGTTTTAAAGATTTTCATACATATAAGGAAGATGATAATTAAAAACAAAGTTTAGTTTTTATTTTTTCCATTTAAAGTTAGTTAATTTTCATAACATTTACATTGCACTTTTTTTATGAATTTTATGAAAATAATTCTTTTTTTAAGCTATTATATAATTTCAAAATCTTATTTTTAAATCTTAAAAACTCAAATAATAAAAATTATTTCTCATAAACTACTCTGCATTTTATTATTAAGGTTTGGTGAGTTATAATCAAACCCCAGTGAGTTTGCCAAAAATATATGCAAAATTTTTTAAAAAATGGCTATTAATGTAAAGTGCAAACTTTTGGTCGATGATTAACTAAACGTTCTAATATGTAAATTAGAAAATGATGATCATAGTCACGTAATATAAAATTAAAACAATTTGGAAAAAAATTTTTATTATCGCCGTTTTCAGAAAAATGTAATCAGCATCATGGGACTTGTACTACCAAAAAGCCGATTTTTGCAATATTTTATTTTCACGTCAAAAATAACTATTGTAATTTACTATTTAACACTGCGATTTTATTTTCTATTTCAAATAAATATACTTGAAATTTACTTGCATAGAAGTTTCAAAGGTATTGTAAGCATATTTGTCAGAAATCTTAGCGATTTTACAATCTAAAAAAAGTGATTTTTCGTGATCTTTACTTTTTTCTCAGATTTTTACATAATAAAGGTTTCAAAATATTCTTTTATAAAATTTATTATTATAAAATTTGTATCTAATTATATATTTTACAATATATTACAGTAAAATGTTGAGTGAAGATTTAAAATAGCGTATTATCTATTGTTATGAAGAAGGTTATAAATCAAAAGAAATTGCTAAGAGGTTATACATCAGTAAAATAACGGTTACTAATATTTGTAAAATTTTTGATAAATGGAGATGTGTTAATGATCTATTCACCGGAAAGTCAGGAAAAAGGAAGATATTTATATCAGAGGATATGCAGTTAAACCAACTACTATTAACAAATACAAATACTGTACTTCGTATTAAAAATTTTAATTAAAAATTATTTTATAGATACTGCAAGATATTGTTCAGGAAAAAGTTGATTATTATTTAGATGAATTAATTTATGAAATGGAAATAAAAACTGGAAAGTTGGTTTCAATACCAACATTATGCCGCTCTCTTCAACATTGTGGTATTACTAGAAAGAAAGTATGTATTACGAAATTAAGTTTTATATTATTATTTATTAATTTATAATTTATTTATATTAAGTTGCAAAAAGTAGCATATAAACAGAATGAAACATTACGTGATTTTTTTATGTATCAAATAAGGATAGAATATAATGCAGAACAACTCATTTTTATTGATGAGACGTTTAAGAATGAAAGGAGCGTTTCATATTTATATGGTTATTCTTATAAAAATTGTAGAGCAAAAAAAAAGGTAGTATTTATAAGGGCAAGCATTACACAATATTACCTGCATTGACAGTTGATGGATTTATTGCGGCTGATATAATGGAAGGTAGTTGTGATAAAGATAGATTTCGAACTTTCATAATAACACAAGTGGTAATTATTTATTTATAAAAATATTTATTGTATCTTTGTTAATATAAAAAAAAATTATTTATTTATTTATTTTTAAGTTACCACAGATGAATCCATATCCTGGTGAAAATAGTGTACTTATTATGGATAATGCTCGTATTCATTATGATGAAGATTTGGTAAAATCAGTTGAAGAATTTGGGTGTAGGATACTTTATTTACCACTGTATTCACCCAATTTAAATCCAATAGAAACTGCATTTTCAGTATTAAAAAGTTGGCTAAAAAGATATAGAGATATTGTTAATAATTGTGATGACTCTATTTATATATTTTTCGTGGCATTATCTCAAACTACTTCCAATATGGCAAAACAATATTTTCAACAATCAATTTATATGTAATAGTTTTTTTATACAATGCATGATAAACATACAAAGAAATTGATAATCACATGCAGAAAATTTATTTTATCAAAATTTCAAATGATTATTTACTAAATTTATAATAATTACAAAGCAATACAATGTAAATCTATTCAAATTTCTTTGACTCATCACGTAATGTTTGTCTAATACTAATTTTTGATATACCTATCAAATTATACTCTGCATCAGATAATTTAAATAATTGGTTAATCCGAATTTCCTCCTCCTCAAATTTTTGCAAATAACATGTAAATTTATTTGCACCATATTTCCTATCCAACTCTTCCAAAAATTCCTTCATAGAAGGAACTTCTATTGTAAAGTTTTGAATTACATTAGGAATTGTTAAAGAATTTTTGTTATTAGAGTTATAAGAAGTGGGTTTAACAGAATGTAACATGCTAAAAATTGCATAATTAGGAGGTGTTTTGAAATCTGTATTATTTTTAAACTATAAAAAAATTCTATTAGTTATAATAAAATAATATAATATGGTAATTATTTTAATAAATACTTACAATATCTTGAGCCCACATCGAAAATGATACATTTGATAAAAATAAATGATGACCATCTTTTACAAAACAATGTTTATGATTATAATGATTACAAACATATTTATCTTTTAATTGCATCATAATTTCACTGATCATTTTATCCTTTTCATCAAGTTTACTTTCTTTTGGGACTCTATTCATTGCTGTACCTTTTTTTTTAGTTTTAACTGATTTAGATTTTGGTGCTTCTTCTTCTGTTTCTTCGCTTGTCACTTCTAATTCCAAATTATCATTCTATTTATTATAATATACAGTCAAAGCTCATTATAGTGAACTTTCTGTTCCACTATGTAATTTTTTCCCTTTTTTTCACTATAACGAGATTTATTAAGAAAATTCACTATATCGAGAGAAATTAATTATAAAGAAAAAAATCAATAGGTCACTATAACGTGATTTTACTTAATGTTCACTATAACGAGATTCACTATAACGAGCTTTGACTGTAATAAGTATTATAAATTAATACAACATATAATTAATTAAGAATTCAGATTGAACCCAAAATTTACTTTATATTTTCATTTTTTCTTATCTTTTTTCTTATCCTTCATAGTTACAATTATCATCACTTTTTTATTATTAGAGATGTAACGTTTATAATTTTTTAGAAATTCTTCAAAAGTAATTTCATTATCTAAAAGTGTTTTTGCCCCAACTTCTGAACTACCCTTATATGCCAAAAAATATTCATTACTAAAGATTAATCCTATATGTTCAGAGACAAGTTGTTCAATTTTTGTTGAAAGATCATTATATTTTATATCATTAAAAGACCAGTTGACTAAAATAGATGGTAAAATCTCTTTTCCATTTTTAATTGATATATGAAGCTGTAATTCTGTTACTTGATTCACTTCAGATTTTATGATATCTTTTTCTTTTTTTATTTCCTTTCCAAATTTATTATTTTCTCGGCTTATTTTACTATTACAAGTTGTACAAAGTGAACAATAAAAGGAAGTTGCCAGGTTGACTTCATAACCAAACTTAAGATTACTTTTCTTCATAAATTCTTTTAAAAATGGTTGAGCGTTACTTGCATCATAGCACAAACCTCTATAGCCACGTACTTTGGCTGTTCAGTTATTTTTAGTTGGTTTTTCATACTTATTACAATGACAATTTTCAAATGTAAAGTCTTTTCCACAATATAAACACTTTTGACAGGTAAAACACATCCCTATTTGATATTTTCTTGTATATACTTGTATTTCATATACTTCATTTTCATTAAGTGACATTTTAACGTGTCAGCAATATAAAAAATGTGTAGTATTAGAGCATGAATTTCTATATACAGTATAATCAGAGAAAAATTGAAAAAACATGATTGGTTAAAAAATAATATTACACAAAGATTGAAATTTTTTTTGGTGAAACTATATTGATCAGCTGATCACATTTTATTGAAAACGGCGATAAAGTAGCATTAATATTTCTAAAAATAGATGAAAGCTAAAATTCGGGTAAAATTGCAGGCAAATTTGCCTGCGAGGTTCTACCGTTTAAGGGATAAGAAGAATTGGAGAATTAGAAATATAAGTACAAACATCTATACAAAGTATACTTTTCGTCAAAATGACAAAATACTAATTAAATTTATTTTGACAGACGTAATGTATTTTGACAGATGTAATTAATTCATAGTAATTTTATAATAAATAGTAAATTGGTCTGTTCCCCGAAATACAACATAATTAATTAGCAGAGAAGTATAATACAAAGAAGAAAAAGTAATAATCATGGTAGTAAAAGGTTAACTCAAGGTAAATAGTCAAAAGAGAACTGCTAAAAAGAAATATGCATTAGTAGAGTCAATTAGACAGAATACAAAAAATGGGGACCAATAGCTCATATTTGATAATGTTTTTATTTGAATAAAGAATAAAGGTGTAAAGGATTTTATTAACTGAATTATACAATTATACATTTGAAATTATACAAATAATTTTTAATATATTTTTATTTGAATATAAAATAACATTAAATTACGCGTAAAAAGACTGAAATATTGTATAAAAACACTGTAAACATGAAAAATACCTATATTTCCTTCGTAAAACATTGAAAATTAGGTTTCTCTTGAGTTTTATTATAGCAATTTTAAAGAATAATCGCGTTTTATTAACGGTTCATATTGATAAAAAGAATATCATTTTAGGGTACACGTGGATACCCCTGTTTTTGTTACACAACCTGACAAACCTACACAAATATTTATACGTATGCCTACACTTGACGCGACGCGTTTATTGGCATGGTGACCCATGTGACCAGATCTTATTGGTATTTATTGGTACTTTATTTGACTTTTATTTGTTTTTCAGTTTTTGAAAGTCTCTGTTTTTAGTTTGTCACTTCTTCAGAATTCAATTCATATATAACAACTTTTTGCAAGTCTCTATTTTTTTATTTTCACTTTAAACAACGTCCTTCAGATACATATTAGCAACATGCAACGTAACGCACATAACGCGTGGGCAGCAAGATTGCGTGCACGAGCAACCGAGAATACCGAGTATAAACAAAAGGTAAAAGGAAATTCCTAACTAAGTTACCGTTAGAGAAACTGTTTCCATTTGTAATAACGT